TCAGCTCTGTAAATATAAAGCCAAAAAGTAAAACTGTCTTCCACTTATGGTGTTAACGCTGAAAGTGCACGGCGACGGCGACGGCGACATGATCGGCGACGGCGACGGCGACGACAGACGCAGGTGATGGCAATATGTACAGACACATCTGTGTCTGTACATAAAAATTCATGAGATGGGAAAAATATCAATAGAACAGTGTTTAATGTCCAATTTCCTCCATTCTGAGTTTCTGAACATAGTGAATGAATGAATCTGACAAACTGCAATGATATAAGTTTATTTCCATTATTGAAACTCTATTATACAATACATGATACCAAGTTTACCATCATTTTTACATAATCAACTAACAATGTTGTAAAGATGCAGGAAATGTCAAACAAACACTTTTACGAATCTTTTTAGTTAAATAATGAGACTGTTAACATGCTTAAGAATTGAATCTGAGGAAATGTGAAAAAACAGCATAACTTATAAAATAATGGCCCGATTATGCTGATTTTCGAACTTGACCTGCGCTTTAGTAAGATTGATTACTCCTGTGAGTTTCATGACAACATGTCTATCGGTTTTCCTTGAAATGTGTTAACAGTGTTGCATATATGCTGAAAAGTGACAAAACAGCATAACTACTAAAATAGTGGCCCGATCATGTCGATTTTCGAACTTGATCTGCGTTTTAGTAAGATTGATTAGTCCTGTGAGTTTCATGACAACAGGCCTATCGGTTTTCCTTGAAATGTGTTAACAGTGTTGCATATATGCTAAAAAGTGAAAAAACAGCATAAATTCTACAATAATGGCCCGATCATGCTGATTTTCGAACTTGACCTGCGTTTTATGAATATTAGTCAGCTCTGTAAATATAAAGCCAAAAAGTAAAACTGTCTTCCACTTATGATGTTAACGCTGAAAGTGCACGGCGACATGATCGGCGACGGCGACGGCGACGACAGACGCAGGTGATGGCAATATGTACAGACACATCTGTGTCTGCACATAAAAAGGTACAGGCATTTGATCCTTGCTTTCCTTCATCTGCATGTGACGTGCATTAAAAAAAGCAAAAACAGTGTTGCGCCTTCTGTATATAGAAATACAACTTGCGAGTATAGAAAGTTGTTTTATTATCACTGCACTAACACACGAAGCTTAAACGATTTTCGGTGATTATAAAAAAAATTGCAGATGACTTCTCAGCACTACAGCCCCCAGTTGATCTAGTAATCTATTGGCCAATGTGAACGTGAGTGGTTGTCCTTAGCAAAAGTGCTACGGTACTGCGGTGCTGTAATGCAGTGGTGTTTCTCAGAAGGAAGTATAGCAGGAAATTAATTGCATTAGAAGTCATTTTCAAAAGAAACCAAAAACACCCCAAATTAACATGAAGCAAAAGTTAACAAAATATCAATTAATGGTTGATATTCAACTTAAACCTTAAAATCGAGATTGGTTAGCCATTGAATATAGAATGCGGAAATAACATTACTTTTTATTTATTCATAGTTAATCATTATTATATTATTACGTTGAATATTCATTTTAAGTTAACCAGGTGTATAAATTGAGAGGTCAGATAATCAGCTGCATTTTCAAAGCTTACTATTCCACCAGCTAAATAACTCTATTTGTGAGAATTGAATTGTTAGTTGCCTGAAATTCAGGTTAAACCCATTGTACAAGAGCTGAAAATGCCACCATGTTTAACTTTTGCAGTATTTAATCACATCTTCATTGGCTGGAATTTAAGAAGACAGAATGGATAGGTCGTTTGTTTTGCGAGATGATAGTCAATTCTAAACGTCACACTTCAATAAAGGGAAAATGCAGTGGGAGGTATGAAAAACTTTATTCTTCAATGATCTGTTCATAGAACAGGTAATAATCTTGTTACAGGTAAATTCACAGACATCAGAGGGAAAAAAAACTAGAAATCTTTAACCTCTGATACCTTGAAGCTTTGTCTAATATAAACTATCAATATGTACATGCATATTCACAACTAACCTGCATGGTTTCGAACTTCTTACGATAATATACATATTAATATAGACTACTAATATGTATATTGTCGCAAGAAGTTCAAAACCATGCAGGTTAGTTGTGAATCAAACATCGCCTTCAGTTTGCAAGACAGTCCGCAATCGACTACAAGGGCTAATAAGGACTAAATACAACAAACTGTATCACAAATAATATTGATTAGTTTACTTTTTGTCGTCGTGGTAACGTTGCTTTTCAGAATCACGGTTGCTTCTGTTGTCAAGCAAAACGAGAAGCTTTATCTTCAATTTTCAAAATCTGGACATTCTTTACGTAAACGTCGCAGCATGCTGTCAAAGTAAGCCCTTGAATACTCATCTTTAATACAGTCGATGACTGCCTTCGATTTTTTGCACATTTCTTCTTCTATTTCAACTAGTGGTTCTCCCGTCCACATTGCCATAACCTGAAATATGTACATGCATATACCTATAAAAACTGATAAATACCATATTGGCTTGTGCAGTAGCTCAGTTTGCAATGTTTGTCAATAACGGCAAAGAGTAAATGTGTCCAAACTAATATGGTATTGTCATATACAATATTGCTTAAAATGTTGTCACCCCCCCCCCCCCAAAAAAAAGCTTTTTCTAAACAATACAGAAAATTTTGTTCCGTATACGAAAAGAGTTTGCCTGCCACCTTACCAGTAGAATTCACTGACCATGTGAAATTATTTGGGTCAAAAAGTGAACAATGGATGGTGGCCCCAAAGTAAAAATAAGAAAGTAAATGTGTTACATAAATCCACTGTGGAGGGGAGAAGTTACCTGTACTTGACAGGCCCTCTCCAAGTAGTAAATTGTGTCAAAGGCTGCAGCGACAGTTGGACCTACGACCATGACCCCGTGACTCCTCATTATCATGGCGTCGTTTTTGCCCAGTGCCCTTGCCATGCGGTCTCCCTCATCGACATTCTCAGCAAGACCTTGGTAGTCCGTGTCATAGGAAATGTTCTCGTAGAATCGGAGGGAATTTTGGTGACACATGCGAAGAGTGGGATCATGTAAAACCGCTGAAATTACACATGGAATACATTACGTCTTTTGGGCGATTAAGGGTACGTTTAATAGTAAATGATGGTAAAAGATAACACTGACAACCCTGAGTTTTACAGTACGGACAGTATCTTCCTGGCACACTTTGGTTATATAGGAGAGTTTCCAGTGCACTGTAAAACTCAAGAGTGGCATTGGCTGATTAAATAATAGTCTCGTGTGTTACAGTGTATGCTGGCGACAAGGGCTTTACTTTAAAAAGTAGACGTTCCCTCGTGATTCTGATGAAGGCTTTTAACAAGTACAGACAGTGTAATTTAAAGTACATTTGCTAGGTCAGAAATCTGAAAGGTGATTTAACATTCCCCATTCTAGCCACAGCAAGGGAGAACGTGTTTAAATACCTCAAAATCCGTGTGTGTGTGTGTGTGTGTGTGTGTGTGTGTGTGTTTTACTTCGACTTACACAGTGCGGTGGCGTAAGGCATGTGTGTGTGCATCACACATGAGACATCTTCACTTCTAGCGTTGTGAATGCCCCGGTGTATGGAAGCCGCGGATATCTCGGATGGTCCGTCACCTTCAATCACAGCGTTATTCTCATCAAGACCAATCAATGAAGATGCCGTCACCTAAATTTTAAAGAAAGTGTATTTTTCAACGCTTTCAAAAGACTGAATTAACCCATAATTTTATAGTTCTAAATTAAAGAAGTTTATTTAACATGGTAAATATTTTTCATTTATTGTTTCTTATCATAATTTTTTTAAAAATCTTAAAATTGGCCTATCGCGGAAAACATTGTGGTCAAGTGCACAAATCATAATAGAAATATCTATTATGAACATGTTTTACCAAAAAGCTTGGCGAACAAAAAATTAAAAGCATGGACCTCATGAAAGTTCATAAGGAAATAAAACGGTAAGGCTGGACGTGGGGACAACTGGAGGCTTTTGCGAAACAGGCACAGCACTGGCGAGCTCTGGTGGATGCTTTAAGTGCCACCCTGGCGCAAAGAATATAGTAAGAGGGTACGAAAGTTCATAAGGGCTATCGAAATGCCGTATCTTTTCATATGAAACAGTTCAACATATTTGATATGGACTCATAAACGCCTTTTTTCGTGTATTATAGGATAAGGACTGAATCTTGAGTCAGATACCGACCACCCAAACCAAGACATGCTTCGCACAGCGAGCAGCGCCTCTCATTCCTTCGGTTTTAAACGCACGATACGCAATCTTAAGCTCGCTAAAGCCTGGGTCCCAACTCCACCCATGCGCAGTGGGGAAAAAGGAATTTTCTCATGTGTCCCGTACGATAGGCGCACGGCATGCTCCATTTTTTTTTTTTTTTTTTTTTGAGATTTCGTAGACCGCACGCAGTGGCTGTTGATCATGTCGAAAAATTTCTACGTGCTGTCTGCGCCCTCCAAAAGTTGCACGATGGACGTGCACCTCACGCACACAATCCCACGTTTTCCTCAAATTTTTGGCCGTAGACCAGACGAACACGTAGCAGGCCGTACGTTGGGTTGGGACCCAGGCTGTACGGCGCACGCCCTCACAGATAACGAGCAAAGTCGAAAGCACGACGGGAGTGCGTCGAACGTGCGTCACCCCCATGCCAGGAGTATAAAAGGCGTGCTCACGGCGCACGCTCATGTCTCGACAATTAACGTCGATTGTGCAACGTGTACAATTTTCAAAACTTTTGAATTTTGATCAATTCAGCTTCTAATATGCCTCCAAAAGACAAGGGAAAGAGGCTTAGAGAGCAGAAAAGAAGGGAGGAGAAACAAGAAAGTACGCCGCCATTACGTCATCACAATCGTGTGAGGCAAGTGTGAAGCAAAAGTGACGCAAAAGGGAACTGTTTCCGCCGTGCGTTGCATTCCCTTCATACATGTAAGTGGTGAGTGTGTGCCACGCACACAGCTAGCAAGACAAACTCAAGAAAAGAGTACAATTACCACGGCCATCGCACTTTGCAAATAGCGTCCCTGCTTGGTAAGACATCTATCTCACTAGGCCCCTGCGACTCACAACGCAGACTTGGGCCTTTCCATTGCAAACCTCCCTCTACCTCTATGGATTTTACTGCACCCAAAATTCGCAGGGGACGAACGATCCTAAAATTCGTGCTCCGGTTGAACATCATGTAAGTTCACAGTACAGTCAATAAATATGCTATCGAGCGACTGCTGATAAGAGAAGCAAACTTTTTTCAGACACTATGACAATACCTCAGACCAATGAAGTCCATAGGGAATAAGCAACATCACTTCGCCCTCTCCATTGGCGGCAGGCGCCCTCAAAGTTAGGTGATTACAAACTCCTTCATTCAAACCTAGCTTGTCGAGGCCACGGTATGCTGCAGCTAGGGCGACTCTTGCCCGCCGATTCGCGGCCTGTGCACTGGTGATGTAAGCCGAGGAGAGAGCCGCAGAACTCTTTAGACGCCTTTCTCCGGATTTCCAACTTAATGGCAATTTTTTTAGGAGTGGCAGATTTGCTCTTCGAAGCATGGTTTGTATTCGCCTTGTATGCTTGCAGAATTTTCTTCAAAATATCGGCTGAAATACTGAGATCAGCAGACATTTGTCAGTCTGCTTGAAGAATGAATTTCTGAGAAAGAACAGCGGATGTGTATCAGTCATTCACCTTAGACCTAATAGGGTCATGTCCTCATGAGGACACCTGTAGGCCTACTCTTATCGGGGTCACATATTGATTTTTCACTAGATATTCACAGATATGTCTCTTGCTAATTCATGACACATTCGACGCGTTGGAGAAAAGTGCACATAATTAATATGCGGCCCTGGTACCAGTTTCACACGCGCGCGCACACACACACACACACACACACACACACACACACACACACAAAAAAAAAACAAAAAAACAACTGGCTAAGAATTTAATTACAAAGGTTACACGCTCACATGGGCACATCTTACCCTATCAGCAGCAGTGTAACAGCACTCTCATGGCAATCCTAGTCAACAAACCCAGTTAACTGACATTTTTACGAAACTGGGACCAGGTAGGGGTTATCATGATAGCCTCAGATATCTCCAAACGATACAGCATCGCTTTAGGAGAAACGGCAGGTATATATAGGTCATGCCCCCATGAGGTCAATGTGTCCTCATGGTATTATCACGTGCTCATACATGTATCAGACATATCCATAATAAACTCAATTTCACTCTCGAACCTGAACATGAATCTCTTGAACAGATTATGGGCATTGTGCTATTGCATGGAAAGCAACAGAGGACGAAATTCACTTCATCGATATCATAGTGTGTTCCCATTATGAGAAATTTAGGTATAAGCTATATCAAATTGCATTCAAATCAGATAGGCCTTCACTGTTTGCCACTTCTTGCAACAAAGAAAAATTCATTAAGCTTATGATATATGAAAGGGAGTCTACTATCGTTAACTGGACACATTTATACAAAAATCCTCTTATAAAAGATAGACTTCTCTCATCTGAACTAGAAAAGGGTACCAACATTATTAGTATTTTTATATATTAATATATATTATTATATGATACTGCCTCGCTTTAAGAGAAATTGCAGGACATGTCCGAAAATGGCGGAAACGGCATCTCAGGGAACGAGAAAGAGGAAAAAAAAAAAAAAACAACGGCATCACAGGACAGTGAGTTTAACCCCTTTAATAATGCCTCTATTCGCTGGAGACATTTATGCGTCCATTTTACGACCAAAAATATGGCCAGGACGGTCATGGTCACCAAAGCAAGAAAATCTTGTCTCATTGTTAATGTTTCTGCGACCCTTGCGCGTCATTTGAACGAAGAAATGTGGAGTTTTCCAGGGACCGGTAATTATTTAAGTTGGAAAGAGAGGGGGTGGAGGAGAAAATGGGTTGGGAGGACCTGGATATTTTTAAGCAAATATTAGGGGGATCTTAAAATTTGAAAATGACAGATAAGGGGGTCTTGGGAAAGGTTATTGAGGCTATAAATATAAAATCAAGCTTTTTTCATCTTTCATTGAAGTTTTCGTTAAATTTCTATTAAAATTTGCAATAATAATTAATTGCTTTTTACACCTTCTCATCATGCGTAATAATAAATTAAGCACACGTGGGATGGGATGTTTGAAATTGACCTGTTTTAATGCATTTTTATGATTTACATACCTTTGTTGACTCTTTGTTCACAATGGCATATCTCGTTAGAATACACGTATGTATAAAATATCAACAAATCTTGTCTGATTAAATTTCGTTATATCTTTCAACTTTCTTTTTATACTACTAGCTTTCTTTTATAAAAATGAATAGAATAAATTCTGTAGCATGTATCATCTACAATTTAACCCTGTTCTATAAGAGTTCCTAAAATAAAGTATTTATGCGTATTTTATCATACTTTGACCTTTATACCAAATAAAATTCATTATTAGTTTTTAAAACACTTTAATATAGTTCATTATTGGGTTAAATCATAATAATAGTGGACTGCCAATTGGTGTTGTAAAAGATCTATTTCCTTCACCTGGTAAAGCTATGATGATAATGTAAAAAATGCGCTCTATTTATGCCACAGATTACAAAGCGTTGGTATACGTTTTCCAAAGGATAACCAAGCGTAAGCTTTACGTTAAATAACCTAATCAATCGTAACAGATACGTTCAATACATTGTTCGTTTGTTACCATTATGCAAAAAAGCCAAGCTACTGTATATCGGACACCGTATGTAAAACGTACCTTATCGTAACTTTAACGTCATTATACCGTGTAGTGTGTGTCTAACGTATGGGTACATGTTGTAACGTATGGGTAACGCACGACTCGTATACGCTTAAATTTTTTGGGACATTCTCAAAAAATTCAAATGTCCTCCTTCGTAGGCGAACGTGCACAAGCGTTTACCTGCATACGGGAAACGTATACGACGTAAGTCTAACGAAGCCCTTGCGTTTGTCCAAGATTGAAGCTTGTCTTCGCACAGCGAGCATATCCGCGCAGTTTTTCGGTGTTAAACGCCCGCACTCTACGTCATCTCAAGCCCTCTTATCTGTCTGTAAAAAAAAGGGGGGGGGGGGGGTCCTTCGGGATCATTCCATGTGAAACTATTGTTCTAGTGAAACTTTTGTAATACATAGAACGCGGGAACTTTGGCTGAATGTTGTCAGTTTTACAGATTTACACGCCTCTTCCTGGCGTTGAGTAGAATACAGAGAAGCTGCAGGTGCTCATACGAGCTCGTACGTTGAAAACAAGAGGGGTGTGTTAATCTGTTTGGGAATAAGCCTTTTGTCTTTACACAATTGACTAATAAGTTTCACACAGAATTCATATTTCAGTGTTGCCGACTATTGCTAGCAGTTTAAAGTCTCGCGGTCAAGGTACTGTTCGTTAATGTATTAATGTGGTCTTTACCACCAACACCCCTGTTAAAATCATACGAAATATTTGACAGAAGGTATAGAAAGACAGATTGAATTTCTCATTATTCGCATTCCATTCCCCTGCTTAAAATGACATCATATATTGGACTGGGGGGGGGGCATTATGTTAGTTCACAGTACAGTCAATAAATATGCTATCAAGCGACTTTATGATGAAAGATGACAGCTTTTTCAGACACTATGAGAATACCTCAGACCAATGAAGTCCATAGGGAATAAGTAACATCACTTCGCCCTCTCCATTGGCGGCAGGCGCCCTCAAAGTTAAGTGATTACAAACTCCTTCATTCAAACCTAGCTTGTCGAGGCCGCGGTATGCTGCAGCTAGAGTCACTCTTGCACGCCGATTCGCGGCCTGTGCACTGGGCATGTGAGTCGAGGAGAGAGCCGCAGAACTCTTTAGACGCCTTTTTCCGGAATTCCAACTGACTGGCAATTTTTTTAGGAGTGGCAGATTCGCGCGACGAAACATGGTTTGTATTCGCTTAGTATGCTTGCAGAATTTACTTCAAAATATCGGCTGAAATACTGAGATCAGCAGACATTTGTCAGGATGCTTAAAGAATGAATTTTGAGAAAAGCGGATGTGTGTCAGTTACCTCATACCGAAGAAGGTCATGTCCTCATCAGGTTACCTGTAAATATACTCTCTATCGGGGTCACATATTGATTTTCCACTAGATATTTAGAGATATGTCTCTTGCTAATTCATGACACATTTGGACTCGTTGGAAAAAAAGTGCACATAATTTTTTGCGGCCCTGGTTGACTTTATCATGGTAGCCTCAGATATCTCCATATGATACTGCCTCGCTTTAGGAGAAACGGCAGGTATATATAGGTCATGCCCCCATGAGGTCAATGTGTCCTCATGGTATGATCACGTGCTCATACATGTATCAAACATATCCATAAGATCACACTTTTTTATTTTTATGGATGACATCCTCTGGGTACCCCAAAATCGGTGCGAGAGGGGAAAAGAAATTGTCCAAAAAAAAAAAAAAAAAAAATACTGCATAAGTAAAGGAATGCTGTCAGTACACAGCTGGAAACACAAATTTTACCACAGAAACACGAATCAAACTAACAATATGTCTTTATCCATGCTCTCGAAATATTAAAGCATTGCGAATACTTCGTAGAAATGTAAAAAAAGTCACAATTAGATATACTTCATATTACCAAATCTATTCAAGGTTATTTCATGCATTTTGTTGGTATAGCAATTAATAAAACAAATATCAAACAAACAGTGTGTCTTTATTTGTATTCTCAGAATATTAAAGCACTTTGAACACTTCACAGAAATGTTAAAAAATGATGCAAAGATATGCTTAATACTACCAAATCTATAAAAGGTCATTTCGGACGATGCCATTTTGTCTACTTCGACTCACACGCAGCAGCCAAACTGTCAGGTGACCTGTCCGACCTTCAGCCCACCAAATACCTCGACGCCCTTGTCGACCCTTTTTTCGCTACAGAAAACCTGGTATGTGCTGCTTTGTACAGAATGTCACAGATATTTTTCGGGCGATAATCGCTGGCTGCCGCCAGCCTTTCGCATAATTGTAAAAAGGTGATATCTCCATGCCCAATGTCAATGGCATACCAATCCAAATTATGTAGTAAATAATGCACTGTCCACGAGCCCGATATCACGATAGCAGGCCGAGCGCCAGCGAGGCATGCTATCGTGGATATCGGGCGAGGGGGTAACAGTGCATTATTTGTCATACATACAAAGGGAAATCGTGCGTGTTCCCCACCCAAAACCCCTAACTTTGAATAGAACACGCTGATATCACCGTGCATGGGGTGATATCAAAAAATGGACTTTCCCCGCGTTTACTGCCTAATTGCGGTCACCGTCCAATCATCTTCGTTTGCGTTAGTGGTTTTCTGAGTAGTTGGCCGATTTCCTCCCCATCTTCCGCACGTGGCAGTCACTCCGTCTCATTCATTGTATCGGTCCCTGCAATCCTTTTGTTTTGATATCAGCCCCGTGGTATGTATATATCCACATTAAATCAACGTATGTGTAACGGATGAATACCGTACATTAGCATTTATAAATGTTTGATAAGCGTATATGTGAGAGTTTTCTAAATGTATATTAGCGTATGGATACCATCTTTTGGTATAAAAGCGAATGACTAAAGCATATGAGCGTATGAGAATTGTTTGGGTAGCATGCTTCTGTTTTATTGATAATTATGAACTGCAGACTGGTTCAAATCCAACGATGGTATTAGAAAATCTCTACATCTGTCC